TTTGTTTTAAAGTAAAGAGAGAAATAGAAATTCATTGTTTTATACTGAATCCTCTTTTTCGTTGTGCTGTGTACATAAAGCTCTTCTTTTGGTTTTTTGTATTTAAGTTTAAAATGAATAAAAATTTAAAAAAATAAAAAAAGAATAAATTGCAAAAGCATGCAAAAAAGAAAAGGTTGAAGAACAGGGGGCAAGATTTTGAGTATTCTCTAATTATAGAAGAAATAGGAGGGGTACTGAATGAAATGCACTTTAACAGGATGTAGCCTTCTCGAGAATTTTTGCCTTTTCTTCAGAAACTACAGTAAAGTTAGAATGATTGAAATGGTTGAAAAATAATCCCAAGGGATTTTTGAGATTCAAAAAAGGAGGAAAGATGGGTCTTACAGTGAATGTCCATTGCATGCATTTCTCACTTTGGAAAATCCTTGAAGACATTTCTCACACCGAATAGAATAATAATAATAACATTTACCTCCCAGAGTTATTAGGATAAGAAGTGATAGTATTTCTAAAACTCTTTGCAAACCTTAAAGAGCAATATGAAAGATAATTATTATTATTGTTACCATCATGATGATGGATGAAGAAGTAGATATATAGTCTCTAACTTTCTATGAGACAGCTGAGTGTGTTGATTTTACTAAAGAGAATTATGCAGGCTTTAGGTTTTCAAACAAACTACAATCAAGAGAGTGAGCTAGGCAGTCCTGGTGACTGAGAAGGAGAACAGAGCCATGTCCAGAACAACTCTGATCATTTATTGATGTAAATTTAATTATGCAATTTATACAACTCTCAGTTACCCCTGAACTTCAGTTTACTTAGTGAGGTAGCAGGCCTAAAACCACACCTCCAAGTGGCCCCCCTTGTGGGCTTTTCCTAGTGAACTGTGGGTAAAACGCCTGCACAGTAGGTACAAGAAATGCATGGTCTTTGAAAGAACTGACCACTCCTTAGCCACTCCCTAATCCCACCCCAATCACCTAGTTAACATATTTGGCACATGATTTATTGTATTTTATCCTATATAAAGTTTAACTGTACCACTTTAAGACAGCAGGATCCTTAAGAATCCTTGCACACTGAAAAGTATAACAATAAATCTTTGTCACCTTGACTTAAAGAATGCTTGAGTCTGGGAATTCATTCCAGATGACCCATCGAGTACTCCAGTCTTTGAGGGGTCACAGCCTCTCATACCTCAACATTTATGGCACCCAGTGTGGGCCTTGTCTGAAGTCTCAGGCCTTCTTGAGTTGAGGTAAGCCTCCCCTCTCCTCTCCCCCTATAGTTGGGCTGCCCCTGAAGCACCTAGGAAGGCTTGGTGGGGATGGGTCGAGGTTGCAACAGGCTCTGGCAGATTTCCTTCTTGACAAGGGAAGCCTTGTTGTGAACTTTTGCGGGTTTTTTTGTCCCTCAGCAGGACGTTGGTGGAGGCAAGTAGACTACAGGAGGCAGCCCATTCTTTTTTTTTTTTTTGCTCATAGGCAAGGAGGATGGGCCAATCTCCCTCTTCACCTCCTGATTTGCCGTTAGGTTATCTTTTACAGAACTGGAGAAAGCTCAGTCTCCAGGACCTTAAGGAAAGTTTTGCCTGGACTCCATAAGATCTGGAGAACAACAAAAAAATATTGTCTGATTTGTGTAGGGGATTTCTGACAAGTCTGTCTGAGATTTTGGATTCTCCCTGTCATTATTATGTACCCTGTTCCGTGTTTGTGTCTGTGTGTAATTTGACACCCTTTGCAGCCAGGTAGCAAGAAGAGCTTTCCAAGGGCTGCAGCTTGACTCTGGAATGCCACTTTCTTTCTCTCCCCCTCTTCCTCCCTGGTAACAGCAGCGTCAGAGGAGCAGGTGGATGGGAGAGAGAAGAATACTTTATTCTTTAGGTTATATGATTGGTAAAAGGCAAGTTGAGAAGGATCCTCGAAGTGTCAGGTAAGAATTAGAAAGAAGGTAGATACCTGCAGTTTTAAAGGCACTTTAATCAAAGTCCATCAGAGGGATAAGTAAGTAGAAGGAAGGCAAGAAAGTTTAAGCATGTAGGAATGAGAAAATAATGGGTAGAAAGAAAAGTATAAGCTATTTGCATGAACAGTGTGAAGAGAGGGTTTGAGAGTAAAAGGTTTAGAAACTTTTGGAGAATTGTTAGGGAAAAAATTCTTTTTCCCTCTCTCTCTTTACATTATAACTTTGGCCAAGTTGTTGAATATAGAGGAGAGAAAGTTAAGGAGGAAAGAAGGGTGAATCCTTTCCCCTCAGATAAAAGAGAGGCAGATTGAGTAGCACTTAATGTTTTCTGCCTCACATAAAACAGACAAGTGTTTGTGCACCAGAACACAACCAAAAGGTAATTTAATTCATTCTGGTAATATTTCAAATGAAATGTGATGCTCTTAATTGAATGCTTAAGTCAGAATTTATTATGCTGTTGGGACTAAGGTAAACTGGGCTCCAAGTACAAGCACCTAACATAAGCACCCAAGCACTGGATCAGCGAGGATTGTAAAGGAAAGAGATTTCTCCATTTTGTTTGTCACATAACTAAGAATATATGATCAGATTTTGGTACAAATTTCTTTATATTCTTATTGAAGAAAATCTAAAAAAAATTTTCCTCAGAGGGTGTGATTTCTAATGTAGCATTCCCCTCTTGGTCTACTCCTCTACATCACGTTTATAAGTTGGAAGATCAAGAGGTCAGTGACCCCAGGTATTTGTGAGTCCACACTCAAAGACTCAAACCACTTGGCACAACTAGTTCAAAGAAAAGGAAACAATTACAGCATGAACCTTTCCACTGTAAATATGAGGCACACTATTCCTCAAATACGCACAGAGTCAATGGGAAGAGTGGGCTGATGCATAGTAGGCTGGTTAAAAGATACATATAAGAAACAAAGGTGGCCAAGCCAGTGCAAGTCTCTGCCACTTCAAGACCCTGACTTCCTTTCTCTTATTGTGAAATTTGACTGTGCTCTTTAAAAATGTTTTAACATTTATATTCTTTTTAATTTAAAGAATAAAAGAACCATTTCCATAATACAGTATAATAAAACATGCTTGCATGTGAAATTGAAAATCTATTATGCACACCATGCTATTCCCTTTAAGTAAGTTTAAAGGAACTTTTAAAAAGTTATCATGTAAATATTTTTTTTCTTTCCCCCCACCCTAGAGATGGGTATTAGACACAAATGTATATTTGTAAAACCATCTTATAATCTATTTATCAGTTCTTTCTCTTTATGCAGATAATGTCTTCTTTACATGCCTTTTGTAGTTAATCTGGGTACTTGTAATAGTGAAAATGTTACTTTTTCTGGCAACAGTATCTTTGCTGGCCAGTTCTTACTGTTGAATTCCCTGGGTCTGCTTTTCTCCTTAGCTCAACTTCTGACAGCAGAGCTGATTCTCACTCTATTTAAAATAGAGCTAGGTAGTTTTTTTTTTTTTTATATCAAGGCAAGGGGCATGGCTAATCTAGACTTTGCTTGCATGGCATCAGTTGCCTTCATCATATAAGCAAGCACCCTAAATACTCTCAGGTTGATCAAAAGTGGTCATGTTAACTAAGGAAGTTAAAAATATTAAGCTTTATTTAAATTTGCTTTACAAAGAGTGAATGAGACACTCCCAAGTTTTGCAACCTTTACTATCTGTGAATAGGACACATAGGGTGATCATTTTATGTCAGAAATGGGAAAAGTTTGAAAATCTAAGAAACTTATACTAGCATGTCTTAAACGCTGACTTATGGACTCAGCAGTTGAAGATTACCAATGTATGCTTTTCTCTTCTATAGTCATTGAACTCTGTTCACAGCTCTGTTGTGTTATAAATTATCCTTCATTCGGTAAATAGCAGAGTAAGAAGGAGCCACCTAAAATGTAATCACAGTAACAGGGGAAAGAAACCAAATAAACATGGCTCAGAATTCATGCTTTATGATGAAGACTCCATAGATATAATGGTGATTAAGAGAGGGATTGTTGGATTTTTATTCGTTCCCCCCCTCCCCCACTGAGTTGAATCCTTGAGAAAAAAAGAAAGGTGATCTTGGAAATATTCTAGATATACAACTCGAAAAGTATAAGGGCCCTGAAATTATAAATATTCCTTATTTAAAAAAAAAAGAATGTGGAAGTGAGAATGGAAACATGTTTCTGTGTATACAATTAAACATTCAGCAGGTGGCAGCAGAGCTATATCTTCTGGGTGATAAGAATGGTATTTCAACTTTGAGGATCACCTCACAGAAATCTTAACCATACTTGCTCCATAAATCAGATTATTAGGTCAATGTCACAGAGAATAACAGTTTCTCTCTCCCATTAAATAGGCTATAACTCTCTGACGAACAAGGTGTTCGTTGGAGGAGACTTGCAAATCTCTTATTGTGCACTGTGACTTTCATAACTCAATTTCTCAGCCTAAAAGATTGGAAAAAAGGTATATGAGCTATTCCTATCAAGGCAATGAGTGAGTATAACTGAAACTATAGGTAAATAATTTAGGTGAAATGTAATCCTAGGAAAAAGGAGATGAAAAGTTCAGTTAGGAAGCAGTAGAGTGCCAAGGACCAGGAAAAGAGACTCTGAGAATAAACTGATTCACAAAAGAGATTCAGTGTGTTGGTCATTGGAAATGGAAGATGTTTGAGAAGGTTTGACATTCAGAAATGAGCCTAAGATCAATTAGAAAGGTATTAGGAGCACAGAAAACCCTACAACATGTCATCCAGCTGTTTAGACTTATCTAAGTAATGTGTGGTCATTGACACTGAGTCAAAACCATCCGTTCTGAGAGTCTCGGTGTCAACAACATTCCCCAGTCCTTTGGCACTAGTTCTAAGAGAACTATCCGAAGTTCAGGAAAGAAACTTCTCCCTGGGAGGAAGAAGGTGTTCTTCCCTCTTTTTGAATAGAGCAAGACATGCAAATTGGGTCCCTCCCCACTGGATGAAAAGCAGCCCCAAACCTGTACCTGTACCTCTGTGGGAGACAAACTCTAGTGCTCTGTGTCCTTCCCCACAGAGGACTAACCTGGAAACTCACCATGAAATTTAGGCTGAACTGGATTTTCCTTCTGACCATTTTCCAAGGTAGTTTTATGGAGACGAAGGGACAATGTGAAGTGGTGACTTCATGTGACTATTGACTTTAATGTAATGTCTCTGTGTTGCAGGTGTCCAGTGTGATGTGGAGCTGGTGGAGTCTGGGGGAGATGTGATACAGCCTGGGGGATCTCTGACTCTCCTGCAAAGTTTCTGGATTTACTATCAGCAGCTACAGGATGAACTGGGTCCGCCAGGCCTCAGGAAAGGGACTGGAATGGGTTGCAAGCATTTATAGTAGTACATACTATGCAGACTCTGTGAAAGGCCGATTCACCATCTCCAGAGATAATGGCAACAGCATCTTATATCTACAAATGACTTCCCTTGAGACTGAGGACACAGCTGTGTATTACTGTGCAAGAGACACAGTGAGCAAAAGGAATGCGAGACCTGATAAAAAACTTCCCCTGCCAGGAGGTGAAGTGTTAGTGAGGCACGAAGTGGACTGAGCTCATGATGCAGAAAGTAAAAGATGCCCATATCCAGGAACAGGTATAGTGAATTTCTATTTGTGGCTTGTGCTGTTTTTTCTTCTCTCCCAGGAGAAAGCAACTTTTCCAGTACCTAGCTATCATTCTTAATGCCTCACTCTCAGTCCCACCTGCACCCCATAATCAATTAGTAGTTATGTATCATCCATTCTACTTTTATCAGAAATCTACTGTACTGTACCTTCTCTCCTCAAGGTGCTGCAAACATCCTGAGGTAGGCCTTTCCCAACTCATACCTGGACTATTACGCTAGCTTGATGGTTGTTCTCCCAGCCTTAGTACTCTCTTCACTCCAGTTCACAGGAAACTCAGCTATTAATATCACCTTCCTGAAACATAGATCTGACAGTTTTTCCCAAGTTCTGGTGAATCCACAATAAAACCTAAGTTCTGATTTGGCTTTTAAATCCTTTTGTACCATGGCTCCTTCCTGTCTTATTCTACCTTAGTCCTTTCCACATGCTCATCAATCCAATGACACTGATCTCCTTGCTGTTCCTTTCACAACAGATTCCATCACTCTACTGTGTATTTTCACTGGCTGGAATGCTTCTCCTCCTCCTCATCCCTGCCTCCTGGCCCCCTCGACCTCCTTAAATCTTACCTAAAATACTCCCCACCTTCTACTTTATTCATCCTCTTTCATTCCACCTTTCTGCTGCATATATACAGATACACACATACACAGATATAGATAAATAGATACTGCATTATTATTTCAATGTTGTCTCTCTGAATAAGAGTGACCACCTTAAAAAGAGGTACAATGTTTTGCTATTCTTCACATCCCCAGTACTTAGCGCTGTGCTTGGCACATAGTTTACTATGCTCAATAAATAAATACTTGCTGCTGATCTGACCTTCTGTTCTTTTTTGAATTTGGCTCTCCTAAATTGCAGAGACTTTTTCTATTTCTGATTTCCATGTTATATACATAATGAGTAAATACTTTGACATTTTAAGATATCCATATGAGGTATAATAAATTATTGAGTATTGTTATGAATTAAATTTAACAAAAAGGTAAATTAAGCACCTTTCTCTAAGCAAGAATATATTCTATTTTCAAGGCTGGTAACTGAGATAGATGGGTCAAAACTGCCTCAGTCTCCAGCCAAAGATCCCAAGCAAAAACAGCTCTCCTTGTATAGATTTTGGCTAGTACAGAACAAAGAAAGAACAGGATAGGTGACATCAAGGGCTTGAGGTCAACATGAGTTTTTTACATAGGTGGAGTGTGGGGAACAACATGAGTGTTTGGAAATTTGGAGTGGGGCCTAACACCAACCCTCCTTCTTTCCCATTTATGATAAGAAGTGGTTGCTTTCAGTCTACTTTCATGTTAGAAGATAGTGATCTAGAGTTCTTCTGATTGCAAACCAGATAGCCCTGAAGGAGAGTTGTAGTGTAAGATATTAGAGTAATTCCCTTATGGCAAACCATATTCCCTCAGGGTTAGCAGAATTCCTTCAGACAGGAATACACACTGATTAGCAAGAGAACTGGATTTCAAACCTTAACCCCTTACAGGTCAGCTGAATTCTGAACTAAGTTGAGAGACATAGAACCATAACTAAGTACTCAGTTATAGGGCATAATCAATTAATTGTAAATAAGATAAATGAGAAAATGATACAGGATCCACTTTAATCTTCTCAATATTATATGCATACAGCCATATCACATGCATTACTCATAGATTAAAAATGCCTTTACAAAGAGACTAAAGAGTGTCCCACTCACAACTTGTAATCCAGTATAAAAAAAGTGTTTATAGCTTTAGCTGATGTAAGTAATTTCATTAATCAACCTGAGAGGATTTTTAGGCTTGAAATATGAAAGGAATGACTCTACATGAGGAAGTTGTAGACTGGCTAACCAGTAGTCCCAAAACTGTTAAAGCAAATGGGCAAACCCTGCTCAAATGAGTTATTAAAAAGGATTTAAATTCATTTTTAAAAGTAAGGAAATTCTAGTTGCTCCTCTCAGGTGCCTTCTTACCCTGACACCTGAGCTTTTTGTACCAGTAGCAATTGTCACTGACTCCTCAGCAATGTTGATACATTGGCACCAGAACAGAAACGTTTAGAAAAGATTTTCAATGGAGTCATCATTACCGACATTTTGGAAAGTTAGGATTCAGCTCATCGAAACTTAATGAAAAAACTGTGCTTGTATCTTGTTTACCAGACTCCATTTCTGATCACCCATTCAGTATTCAAAATGTCTGTTCATGGATGTAGATATTCTGGTACTGACAAATATTGATGAGCTTTAAAATTGAACATTATTATTTTTGCACTTAATAGTATTTTATGTTATCCAATTGCATATAAAGATTGTTTTCAAATTCATTTTACAAGATTTTGAATTCTGAATTTTTCTCCCTCCCTCCTTTGTAACATATACAATCATTTTAAATATATTTTCATATTAGTCATATTAGGAAAGAAGAATCAGAACACAAGGGAAAAACTGGGACAAAGAAAAAAAATAGTTAAAATAGTATGATTTGATCTGCATTCAGACTCCATAGTTCTTTCTCTGGAGTTGGATACCATGATTCATCTTGAGTCCTTTGGAAACATTTTGGATCATTGTGTTGCTGACATAGCTAATTATCCATCATAGCTGGTCATCAAACAAAGTAGCTGTTATTGTGTACAACTTGCTTCTGGTTCTGCTCACTTTACTTTGTATCAATTCAAGTAAATGTTTCAGGTTTCCCTGAAATCATCTTGCTTCTTATTTCTTACAGCACAATAATATTCTGGCACAATCATATATAACAGCTTATTTAGCCATTCCCCAGTTCATACATGTCACCTCAATTTCCATTTCTTGGCCACAACATAAGGATACCCTTTGATCCAACAACACCACTGCTAGGTCTATATCCTAATGAGAATGAAAAAAGGAGAGAGGACCTACTGGTAAAATTTAACTATGTTCTACATAACGTATGGAATTTTCACTTTCTTTAGTAAAGATTATGATACAGTGACTGAAAAATGAAAATACAAGTCCTGTGCCAGCGAAGGAAAAAAAAAACACACAAAATTGACATAGTTCAGATTCTATGCATTATACAAGATTTCACAATCCCAATGTCTGGTGTGAAAATAATTTGTTTTTATGGAGAGGTCCTAATGGACCTTGCAAACCCTTACCCTTACCTTCCCATCTTCACCCCTTCTTCCCCATGGAATAAGAGCACTGACACACCCCCTTTCCTACTCAGTACAAAACAAAGGCAAGGGAAATAAGAGCAAGGAAAAGATGCTCTATTTCCTGAGGACATAGTGATGGCAGACTTGGGAGCTCTGAGTAATGAGAGTGGTGTCTTATTTAGAAGTTCAGTTCAAAATGCTCTGAAAGTGTAGAAGACAAACTCATGCCCCACAAGGGCATAATGTGTTCAAAGTACTTTGAGGGGGAAGTTATTTTAAACTGCAAAGAGATTATAGTAGAAACTCTTTCTAAATGCTGTAGAAGAAGAAATGGGGAGATGGTTTGTTGGGGTGCCTATGTCATTGTCCCAAAATACATTATGGGCCTATATTAGAAACAGTATATGCCTTGAGATACAATGGAAGCTTTCTTGGCATCTCTTGTCCAGTTCATGCTTCATTTACTTTAGGTGGAAGAGAGGTATGAGAGAACATATTTGGCAGTAGAGGTAAATAACAGGTGGATTCCAAAATTAAAAATGAGCAAAGGCACCAGAAGGAAACACAAGAGCCAATGGACAGGGGCAGAGATATAGAGGGAAAAGGTACCCATGAGCAGATTCAATTCAAAATCAAGGATAAGACACTTAGGGTGCTTCCTTAATCAGAAATTGGAAGAGACTCCCTGAGATAATATCAGTAACAGAAAAAAGCCTAATAAGCTTTTTCTTCGTATTGAGAATAATTGGAGTGATTGGAAAGGACAGACCCAGTGTTTTGCATCACCAATGTTGCATATTCTTAGTGTCATAAAATGTCCTCCAGGGTTTTAGAACCAGTTCTAGAGGATCTTTCTCTTTGCAGGTCAGGGAGAGCACTAACCCAAGGAGGTGGCAGCTGTTCTTCCTTTTATTAAAGGGATGTGGGAGATATCTTTACTTCTCTGAATTATTTCTTGCCACTGGACCCAGATGGCTCTGGAGATGAAAGGGCATCTGTTGACTCTGCTCAGTCTTCCACCACTTTAATCCAATTCAGTTGCAAATCATGACATCACCTTGCTGATGCCATGGTCCTCTTTGATAAGGAAAAACAAACAGGAAGAGTGAAGGGAGGAGGACATTCAAACTTCTTTTTCCCTTGTTATGTAAACCAGCCCAAATCCTCTAGCTCTAGGAGAGGAACTTCAGTCTTGTGTGACTTCTCTTTTATCCTAATGACTGACCCTGTAGAGACTCCACACTGGGATTTGAGCTGGATTGGATGTTTTTAAAAAATATATTTCACATTGCATTCACAGAGCAAACAAGGATTTCCACAACACAGCACAAGAAAAAAGATGACTGCATAAATAACTGCAAATCTACCATGCACAACATGCTATTCCCTCCAAATATAGAATAACATTATCCTGTAACTCATGTAAAATTATCATGTAAATGTAATCATGCAAAAAAAAATCTTCCCTGGGGATCATCTTGTATTCATCCTTGTTTCTGAGAATAATTACTTTCTATATTATCTCCCTCCTTTCCCCCTTTGCCTAGAGCAATCTGTTCCAAAGCTTATTTCTGTTTCTTTAAAATTTATGTTGTTCTCTGATACTCACATGCTTGCTACAAGCCATGAGGTAATAATGGCATTAAATGGCTGGTCCAGTTCTGGAGCTGAAAAAGACCTCTGGTGGCACCTAGTC